TCGATGTCTGGATTTGAGCCCGTTGGGACTTACATGGTCGGGGAACATCTTATAATTACAATCTTCTAGCTTTTGAGATATTCGAGTTATCAACTTACTCGAAAAAACTTTGGCGGGCCCGCATGTAGGTAGCACGCGTACCCGGAGGCTGGGTTTAAGCTCATTAATACCTATTTGGACGGCGGACGTCTCCTTAAAATTTCAGCCCCCTCCCCCTCTCAGCTTTTCTGATTCCCGAGTTAACAGCTTACCCATAAAAAACTTTGGCGGGCTCATACGTGGGTACTACGCGCGTAAGAGCGCCCATTTTGGGGATGGGGGCCATACATGCATGTAGATTAAGTTCCCGAAATTTCATTCCCGTAGCTTTTGTAGTTCTCGCGATGAAAAATTGGTCCAGACGAACACACAGACACAGACAACTTCCCGTCAATATGCGTTTTCTGCATTGCAGAGCTGCAAAAAATGCATAAAAATTGTCACCATATGACTAATTTCAAACAAAAATGTTCAAAGCAATGAACTTTGAATGGAAAAATACAAGAATATCAAGACTGCTCGGGCTATCAATGTGAGTATTTTCTGTTGGTGATGTCACTCCCATATTTGCTGCGCAACTATGCCAGCCTTTTCCCCTTGGGCTGCGTGCCTCCAGCCCGTACGCACCGCCTGTTCTATGTATGTGTGTCGTCTCGTCGAATGAAGAGATAAATGAAGAAATATGGTCCATCCAATGCGCAAAAAATGCAGTTTGGCAAGCCTACAACGTTTTTTGCAAGTCTATCTGTAATTCTATGCCAAATACGTACAGCTGCCGCTGTTTCTGAAAACCCAAGCGTTTGTATTTCTTTCATAATTGCCGAACAAACAGCGTTTGGAGCAGTGCACGGTAATAGTAGAAAGGCGAAAATTCCGAACCAATCTGCTTCCACATCATCAATCAAACTCTGCAAAAAACATTAAATAATATCGAATTCAGACTCAATTCCTACGCTTTCCTGACGCTGCTCACTGTCCCAATTAAGCCGCTTTTACGTGGATTTCGTGGTTACAGACTTTCCATCCTCTTTGAAACCCTGACATTAAATTTAGCAATTTTAAGAGCTAGGTGCGCCATCCTTCCGGGACCATCACAAAGAAATTTTTTGTCGCGCCAACACTATTCAGCAGTAGCGATGTCGACCCACCGGCTTTCTGCAGAACTTTTAACATGCCCAATAAATCGAGCTGATTTTGTTTTAAACATTCTGCACATTCGTCAGGCAGAAAGACTGCTTATATTGCCAATATGAGTTATTCCAAGCAAATTTCTCTTTCCACCTTATGCATCACAATCAGCGTTCGCTCTTCTGTTTTCACTATTGATCATGTCCAGCACCAGGAGGAATATGAAACTGTTCCTTTACTACACACGACATGAGGAAAAACGATATGAAAAATGTTGGAAAACACCTACGACGGAACAATTTGAATTAGGAACCTTTAATTTACTATCCAGCTGCCTTCTGATCGTCCAAAACTCCTTCGGATCAATTGATGTTTTGCCCAAATTT